GTTCAGTTAATGATCTTTCTTGCCATCAGAACAAGAATGAAAATGGCTTACAAGTTGATGACTCTTGCTGACCAGCTTTGTAGAAGAAATTTGGTGATGACAACCCTTATGTAAAAGCAGACATTATGTACACGCCTAGCACCAAAAATTCCTAATAGGGCACTACAGCAGAAAGGATAATTCTCATAATTATAAGCCTGCAATATGAATATTTCATGAGCAAACTTGAAAATGTAAAAACTATTATTAAGAAGATTCTGGGAATAAACAGTGGCAGCTACTATGGTTAAATGTTGTTTGGTTTTGTTTTTTCTGATAGGAGGCATCTATTGATGTCTTTTTTTTCCTAAGTTTTGCTAAGACATTTAATGTAGTTGCCAATATATATTTGAACATGACAATAATTGTAATCACGCTAAAACTCAGCATTCTTTATGGTGTTCTATTTTCTCCGTTATTTTAAATATCGTTAGTCTCCTACATTTAAAGATTTAACGTGACTTCAGAACTTGGGTTTGGAGAGAAGGAAATATAGGTCATCAGGATTTATGATCCTGATTCATTATTTGAATTAGTAATTAAAATTGACTTGTTGAATCAGTTAAATATCTTGAATATCTTGAACACATTTGTAAATAGACGTATTAAGTATGTACACAGTAGATGAGAGAATACAGAATAAAGTACATACAGAGAAAGACAAGAGACAAGCTATGTGGAAAAAGAACTGCATTTAACTGCTGTCTTTTTTTTTTTTTTTTTTTTTTTTTGTCATCACTTCTGTATGATCAGGACTGTAAAGCATAGAAACAGATCATTGTCTAGTTTGTTGAATTGCTTCATGAAAATGTAAGGGTAAGGAAAATTATTGGCATTTTCACCAAACTCAGGCTAATAAATTCAGGGAAAAGCATGTCACTTCTGATGAAAGAGCTTGAGTACTTGAGCTCAAGATACAATTGGTGGTCAAATATTTGCAGAAGTTGCTGCAAGTTTGAGATGCAAACAGATAGAATCATAGGATCACTCACGTTGGAAAAGACCTTAAAGATCATCAAGTCTAACTGCAACCTAACCGTACTACCTTAAGTCTAACAATTTTCTGCTAAATCATGTCAATGAGCACCACATCCAAATGGTTTTTAAACACATCCAGGGATGGTGACTCAACCACCTCCCTGGAAACCCTATTCCAGTGCTTAACAACCCTTTCAGTAAAGAAGTTTTTTCTGATATCCAACCTAATCTTACCCTGGCACAACTTCAGGCCATTTCCCCTGATTAAAAAAACAATTTTTTTTTAATGTTTTTGTGTATTTTTAGTTTATTTGCATTTTGTGTTTTGTACTTTTGCATACAATGCTCAAATCCTGATGTATTCAAGCTTCAAGTTCCAACTATAAAATTCATGTATCTGGATCACAAGGAAATGCCTTAAAATAAATAAATAAATAAATAAATAAATAAATATTTGTTACATGTAAATCAGTAAGATATACTGTCTCCTAACATCAAGTATATAGGAATCTAAGTTGCTTTTTTTTTTTTTACATTAGTGAATATTGCCTTTCTTTCTTCAAAATGAGTTGCATACTGAAATCAGCTCCTAATAGAAAATTCAAGTTAGGTAATATCTATATGAGACTGTGTACTATGTAAAATTAATAATAGTATTATCATATACTATATTTAAAGCAGTATCTCTGTATTATCTACTCTCCATATTCAACAATGTTTCAATCTCATTCTATGGTACCTTTTTCAAAATTTGCTCCTGGACTTTATAGAAACCATTACCATTGTACCAAGAATGAAAATCATTATCAATTCATCACTCCGTGTTGTCTGCTGAGGAAAGAGTTCTATTTTGTCATTGAAGAGAAGAACTGGTAAGATAAGCATAATAGGGTTCTGCAAAAGCAAGTTCCTAATTTGACATTTCTAGTACCTGTTAATTTCAGAATTCTTAGCGCTGAAAGGGACTTCTGATGTCCAAAACTCACCTTCTTTTCATTCTCATTTGTTGCCGTGATGGAGCAGCATGTCCATCAATTAATTATCAGCTCATCGAGTTGAACGCTTAGGAAATAAGAAACATAATAGTGACCATCTGTGAAGAGAGAGATTAAATGACTTGACAGGAATTTTCCAGAGAATCATTCATTTTCTTTGACTAATAAGACCTTTTCTCTCTGCTTGGAATCACATTAGTCACTCTTTCTGAATTTAGTAGCAGGCAAGAATTCTGCAGTAATCAGCTTTCCTCATCACATAACATTGATTTTTTTTTTTGTAACAGAGGAGATCCACCCTATACTGTCAGTGGAGGAAAAGGAAAAAAGTATGTAATCATATGAAGAAAAGATAGGCAATTTTGTTTCTGTCATGCCGTAATGGATTATAGTATCTTGATGATTTTTTAACATAGTGATCATAGAATCATAGAATCATGAGGTTGGAAAGGTCCTAGAAGGTCATCTAGTCCAACTGTCCTCCCATTACCATTGCTACCACAAGCTACTAAACCATATCTTGTAGCTCCTTATCCAGATGCCTCTTAAACACTGCCAGGGATGGTGATTTCACCACCTCCATGGGCAGGCCATTCCAGTGCCTGAACACTCTATGAAAGAAAAGTTTTTCCTTATGTCTAACCTAAACCTCTTCTGGTGCAACTTGCTGCCATTTCCTCGGGTCCTGTTTGTTGCTTGGGAGAAGAAGCTAAACTCCTCCTCATCACAACTTCCCTTCAGGAAGTCGTAAAGTGCAATGAGGTCTCTCCTGAGCTTCCTTTTCTCCATACTATACAATCCCAGCTCCCTCAGCTGCTCCCTGTAAGACTTGTGTTACAGATTCCTCACCAGTTTTGTTGCCCTCCTCGGGACCCTGAGTACAGGGGAATGATTAATTACCTCCCTGCTCCTGCTGGCCAATCTATTTCTAGTGCAGGCTTCAAATCTCTGTTGATTGCTTCAAATCTCTACTCTTTTATAGAATATGCACTAGGAGACAACAATTCTTTTCCTAGAATTCAAATACTGAAAACAGAAATGTGATTAAATTGTTGCTTATATTTTTAGACACAGAACTTAGGAGACATGAGTCACCCTTCACGGTTTTCAGTAGTCTCTCCATCTTGCTTTTGTTTAGGAACAGTAGAGAAGTTTGTTTCTTCTTAAGTGTTGTAATTACATTGTGGTGGTAGAGGGGAAAAAAAATAGAAAAATATTTTGATGTAATATTCTGACAGTACTATTTTCCTATATCCATCATGATACTTTTTCTTTATGCTGTTATTTTTTCTGTTAATGAAGAAATGCATTACTGCTTTAGTGTAGTGTTAATTGCTAACTATTTGCCCATAGGTTTTTTTCTCTTACACAGAGCAAGATAATTCAGAGGCTGATTAGATACAGACTTTTATGCTACAGAACTGATGAGACATGATATATCTGGAAAGGAATATCTAAATAATATGGTATACTCAAGTACATGCTTGTCTCCCACAGAGCCCCACTAATCTTATTTGCCAAAAGCTTTCACAATCTTGTACAAACAATGAGCACTGTCTCAGAGTTTGATCTTACCAGGCAAAAATGCAATGCTGAGGAGAAAGAGAAGAACAGTCATATGAAATGTGAGGATAGTAGAGTAGCAAATCAGGTAACAAAGTCTTGACCAACAATGGCACAAATTCCATTAAAACATATTGCATTGTAAGGGGATAAATAATTCTCTTCTCTGAGCCTGTGTGATCCCAACAAGAAACTAGTCGTACTGTAGGTCTCATTATTTATTACTTGCCCAGACTGGGTTAAGACAAAGGTATCTGACACTGATTATGGACGAATACATACAAGCATGAGATAATTTAGTAAACTTTGCAGCTGGTAATAGTCACTCCTTTCTTGCTTTCTTGTAACAGAGAACAGTTCAGGCTGAAGCATACTCCTGCACGTTTTTTTATTATTACTTTTTTCTAATTGTCTCTCATTTTAATTACCATTCAGGGAGAAGGCCATTTATGCTATCAGAGATAAGGGTGAAGAATTTCAGGCTTCGTAATCATAAATGAACTTTCAGCTCTGATATTCAAAGAGTGTCACAGCAATGTGAAGGTCAGATGGGCAGCAACAGGAGATATCAGGTTCTGGGTACTCTTGAAACAGGTCCTTCTATGTGGAGGCTATGTAACTTGCTAGTGAGTTTCAGGCTGGACTAACCAGTGAAGGCCACACTGGGAGAGACAGAGGTGAGAGACAAAGACTGAGTGAGGGGATCCAGGGCCCAGCAGATCAGGTAGATGTAGAGCCTGAGCTCATATGCATAGGTCCTGTGCATACGTGGGAATTGCGATTGGAGAAATGGAAGGTCTATGTATCTCAATGATGAGAGTGCAGCAGTGGGGTGGGACTATCTGTCTGTGCTCTTGTGACTGCAGTTAGTATTTCAGGGCTACATCAAAGGTACTTGGGCTAGTCTTTATGATTACCCATATTGTTGCCCTCTGTGTGTAGTATGACTTACATGTGTCTATCTCTTGAAGCTCATGCATAGTATCACTGCCAAAGGACTTGAAAAGAGGAGTAGCAGCAGCACCTATTGGGCTGGGATGGGTGAGATGTGTGGATTCAGTTCTGGTGAACCAGGAATGGCTAACTCTCTGGGACAGAAACTGTGCTGGATTCAGCTAGTTTTTAACAAAGGCAGACAAATGGGGTGCCAGGAAATGGGATGCTGGTTCCATCAGCTAGAAATTCCCACAGTGATGCCCACAACATAGGAAGGAATGTTGTTTAATGTTTATTTCTGGAAAATGTTTGTTGTGCTTCAAAAAGAGTGACTCTGATGCTCCCGTTTTTGCTGAGCCCACCCAGCTTCGCCTAGCGTGAGTGCTTTTGCTCTGGAGCATCCTGGCTCTGCAGCAGCTTCCTCTTGGTGGCTTGGATGCTGCCAGTGCTCTGCTGGTGCCTGCTGGTGGTGCAGGCAGGGGCTGGGCATTAGGCCGAGTCATCATCTATGCCCGGGATGTTGTCCGGGACCTCTTTGGGTGCCACTTCTGGAAGAGAAAGAAAATCGCCACAGGGTTAAGGCCAGCTTTCCCACACCAAATGGGTGCAAAAACTCGCCCGCCAGCTCTGCTGCCCCCAAACTCACCACTGTTCATCCAAGCCAGGAGGTCACCGATGTCAGTGATGTCCTCCAGGATGTCTGAGCTGGTTGTTGCTGCTGGAAAAGCAAGAAAATGCGCAGTGAGGCAATGCCATCTTTCCCACAGCCACCTGGTGCGGCCAGCCTGCTGCCCGCTCTGCAGCCCCCAAACTCACTACCTGATTCCGGTGCTGCAGTGCTGCAGGTGAGTGGAGCCGTGGTGGGATGGGGGCACACGCTGATGGGTGCTGGCTGCCCCTGGTCCTCTGTGTGCACCACGGTGTCTCCAAAGGGCTCCTCCTCCTGCTCTAAGATGGTGGGCAGGGTGCCGGGCACGAGGAGCACCTGCTGATGCACCGGAGGTCCTTGGAGGACTGTTGAGGGGCCCGGGTGGCTGGGAGCCTGTAGCGGGCAGCTGCCTGCGGGCTGTGGGGGCTGTCCATGCAACGCGGCCCCGGGCTGCAGCCCCATCGGCTGCTGAGGCTGCATCGTCCCTGCCACCAGGGGATGATCCCAGCAGTGGGCAGGGGCATTGGGGGGAGGCATACCCGGCTTCATGCCCCCGGGTAGGAGCATGAGCAGGGGTAACTGCTGCCCCCCAGGTTGGAGATGACCCACAACTGTGGGCAGCCCCTCAGGAGTGAGCTGAACCACAATGGAAGGCACCCCCTGAGGTGGGAGCTGACCCACGGTTGGGGGCTTCCCCCCACGTGGCCGCTTGCCCACAGCTCAGGTCTTCCTCCCACGTGGTCGCTTACCTGCAGCTGGGGGCTTCCCCCCAGGTGGGAGCTGGCCCACGACTTAGGGCATCACCCCAGCGGGCAGCTGACCCACAACTTGAGGGACCCCCCCCAGGCGGGAGCTGACCCACAACTTGGGGCATCACCCCAGGTGGGAGCTGACCCACAACTTGGGGCATCACCCCAGGTGGCAGCTGAACCACTTGGGAGACCCCCCCAGGTGGCAGCTGAACCACTGTTGGGGGCATCCCCCCAGGTGGGAGCTGCACTCCCTGTCCTTGGACACCTGGAACCCCAGTCCAGACAGAAGCCTGAGGCACCATGTAGGTGACATTGGGGACAGGGAGGGGTTGGATCGACACTGGCCCTGCTCCGCTGATGTTGGGCTGCATTGCAGCAGTGGCCAATGGATGCACACAGGATCCAGGGATAATCGCGTCGGGTGTTGGAAGCACCATCAGCATCCGTGGAGAAATTCTCTCTGCGGAGAAATGCCCAGATGGGCGCTGGTGTGAGATCTGGGGCACTGGCATCCCCTGGAGGGCCGCAGTGCCAGGAGCAGAGGGAGCCTGCTGCCTTACCTGCCATGGTAGCTCGAGAGTGGCAGTGGGGGGTTCCGTGACTGCTGGGGTCAGCCCCTCTCCCCTGTGGTCACAGTGAGCCTCTGTGTCACAGTCCTGTGGTGACACAGGCATTGCTCTGTGCCTGCCCCATCACCACTGCTTGCTGTGGCTGCTCAATGCAGCCTGCCATTGTTTCAAAGGAGATTATAAAGAGGAGGGAGACAAACTTTTTGTGCGGTGATGATGATTGGACAAAGGGGGAATGGTTCTAACGTAAAAGAGGGGAGATCTGAGTTAGATGTGGGGTGGGATTCCGTCCCACTGTAACGGTGGAACAAGGCCAAGTCCTCCTGGTGTAACTGAATGCATATAAATCCATGGAGCAGGATGATATCCATCCTGGGGCTTTGAGAGAGATGGCTGATGTGGCTGCCGAGCCGCTCTCCATCATATTTGAACAATAATGGCTGTCCAGTGAAGTCCCCAGTGACTGGAGAAAGGGAAACGTTGCTCCCATGTTTAAGAAAGGGTGAGGCTGGTGAGCCTCAGCTCTGTGCCTGGGAAGATCATGGAGCAGATCCTCCTGGAAGCTGTGTTAAGGCACATACAACAGAAAGGAGCAATTCCAGCACAGCCAGCGTGGCTGCACCAAGGGCAGATCGTGCCTGACTGATCTGGCGGCCTTCTATGATGGAGTGACGGCGTTGGTGGACGGGGGGAGGGCAGTGCATGTCATTACCTGGACTTCTGCAAGGCCTTTGACATGGTCCCTTGCCACATCCTGCTCTCTAACTTGTAGAGGAGTGGATTTGAAGGATGGGCTGTTGGATGGACTGGGATTTGTCTTGGTTGCAGCCAAGGGCTGTGGTCAATGGCTCTGTGTCAGGGTGCTGAACCCAGTGTAAGGGGTTCAGTAAGGCCAAGCTCAGGGTGCTGCAATTGGGTGGGGGTAATGCCAGGTATTGATACAGACTGGGGGAAGATGTCCTTGAGAGCAGCCCTGCGCAGAAGGACTTGGGGTCCTGGTGGACGAGAAGCTGGCCATGAGGAAGCAGTGAGCACCTGCAGCCCGCAAGGCCAGCTGTGTTCTGGGCTGCATGAAAACGGGGCGGCCAGCAGGGAGAGGGAAGTGATCGTCCCCCTCTGCTAGGCTCTTGTGAGGCCCCATCTGCAGCGTTGCGTCCAGGCCTTGGGCCCACAGCACAGGAAGGACGTGGAGCTCTTGCAGTGGGTCCAGAGGAGGCACTGAGATGAGCAGAGGGCTGGAGCAGCTCTGCTGTGAGAAAAGGTTGAGGGAACTGGGCTTGTTGAGCTTGGGGAAGAGAAGGCTGCAGGGAGACCTCACTGTGGCCTTCCAGAACTTGAAAGGAGCGCAAAATACAAGAGGGGGAACGGCTGTTTGTGAGTTTGTTTATGACTGGGTGACCAGTCTGGTAGATGAGGGAAGGGCTGTTGATTCAGTCTGCCTAGACTTCAGCAAAGCCTTTGACATGGTCCCTCACAGGCTTCTTCTGGGGAAACTGGCTGCCCGTGGTCTGAACAGGTATACTCTTCTTTGGGTAAGGAACTGGCTACAGGGCTGTGCCCAGCGGGTCGTGGTGAATGGAGTGAAGTCCAGCTGGTGACCCGTTTCAAGTGGTGTACCCCAGGGGTCGGTACTGGGGCCCATCTTGTTTAATATCTTTACTGATGACGTGGATGAGGGCATTGAGTGCACCCTCAGTAAGTTTGCAGATGACACCAAACTGGGAGGTGGTATTGATCTGCCTGAGGGTAGGGTGGTCCTTCAGGGGGATTTAGACAGGCTGGACTACTGGGCTGAGGTGAATGGGATGAGGTTCAACAAGGCCAAGTGCTGGGTGCTGCACTTTGGGCACAACAACCCCATGCAGTGCTATAGGCTTGGGGATGAGTGGCTGGATGAGTGTGAAGAAGAGAAGGACCTGGGGGTGTTGGTTGATGCTCGGCTGAACATGAGCCGACAGTGCCCAGGTGGCCAAGGGGGCCAACAGCATCCTGGCCTGCATTAAAATAGTGTGGCCAGCATGAGCAGGGAGTTGATCATCCCCCTGTACTCAGCACTGGTGAGGCCGCACCTCGAGTGCTGTGTTCAGTTTTGGGTTCCTCACTACAGGAAAGATGTTGAGATCCTGGAGCCTGTCCAGAGAAGGGCAACAAAACTGGTGAGGGGTCTGGAGCACAAGTCTTATGAGGAGCGGCTGAGGGAGCTGGGATTGTTTAGTCTGGAGAAGAGGAGGCTCAGGGGAGACCTCATTGCACTCTGCAACCTCCTGAAGGGAGGTTGTGGTGAAGAGGGTTTTGGCCTCTTCTCCCAGGCAATGAGCAGGACACGGGGTAATGGCCGCAACTTGTACCAGAGGAGGTTTAGGTTGGACATAAGGACGAATTATTTCTCTCAGAGAGTGGTCAGGTACTGGAATGGCTGCCCAGAGAGGCGGTGGAGTCGCCGTCCCTGGCAGTGTTCAAGAGGCATCTGGATGACGAGCTGTGAGATATGGTTTAGTGCTTGTGGTGGCAATGGTGATGAGGAGACGGTTAGACTAGATGATCTTGTAGGCCATTTCCAACCTTGTGATTCTGTGATGGCTTTGAGGACTGTTCCTATCATCATATCAATTCTGATAGCTATTGAAAGAGGTTCAGTTTTCAGATGCAATGAGTGCCAAAACTTCAGTGCTTGGTGGTTGTGGACAGCCTACAAGAGCACCCTGGGATGGATTAAATGTTGCTAAAGCTGTGCATTTTTTTTCCCTTCAAAATTCCTAATAACTTTTCCAGTTTCGCTAAGGCTTACAACTTCAGTTAATGTACATAACCAATATAATTTAGTATTATTAAAAGTAACATTATATTATCCAAATTTACCCTTTTGTTACAACTTCCAAGATGATGGAAAAACACTGAGTTTAAAAGCTGGCCAATTTTCTAAGCATATCATCTGACCCAATGAAAGATGTCACCTCACTCTATAAAACTTGCCAGAACTTCAGATTGTCCATCTGTTACAATGTTGCTATTTCTTCACATTTTGCAGTGAGTTTTCCCAAACCTTGACTCACAGCCTTGTGAAAATCCTAATATTTGTCTAAAAGATAAAGTCTTCATCAAAATATCCTCCAAATTTAGATTTTTTTTTTTTTTAAGGCATCTAATTTACAATCTGTGGAAGATATTTTGAATTTTTAATCTGTGCTCAGCAGGTGTGCTGTTACAAACATCACTGTCTCTGGGTTACAACGCACTAGATCAAGTGTAAAACTTAGAAATGAGACACCCATGTTTCAGTTTTGCTTTCAGTAAATCTTAGAGTCTTCATACTGAAGTGTTTGCAGTAGGCTTTGAGTCATTGATTTTTCACAGAACCACACAACTGGAGGTGTGGAAGAGACCCCTGGAGTTTCAGTCCAAGCCCCTGCAAAAGCAAGCTCCCTAAAGCAGGCTTCACAGGGAAGTCCAGACAAATCTTAAGTATGTCCAATGAAGGGGGCTCCATGACCTCTCTGGGCAGCCTGTTCCAGTGCTCTGTCACCCTCAAAGAAAAAAATTGTGTTTATGTTCCAGATTGTGCCCACTGCCCTGTGTTCTATTGTTGCTCACTAGTGAAAAATGGCTACTCCCTTCAACTTGACTCCTGCATTTTAGATATTTATAAACAGTCATGGAATCCTCAAGTTATGAGGCTTTCCTGTTAACAAATATGGCAGTAATTTCTCTTCTGAAGTAGGGAAATAATTGCTGCATTTAGACCTGGTAATTATTGCCTATGGGCTTTTTTGCCCCTTTGTTAACTTCTTTTAGAGTTTACAAGTCATGTGGCTGATTCTGTATCTTTAGGAGCATTAAAAAATAAAGCTCTTGTGCAAAGGATTCACAGTTCCTACAAACTACCGTTAGAAGACCATCACTTATCTTTATTTATGTTTAGGCAGAATTTTGCAGGTGAACAGGAGCTAGTCCTACTAAACTTTGAGCTGACTGAAAATAGTGTGGGTGTATTACTGCATAGCAGAACCTTAGTAAACACACTCTTTTCAGAAGGATTTAACACTAAGGACTGTGGCAACTCTATGGTAAAATATGCATCTGCCTGCACTAAGCAAGCATTATGTGTTTTAAAACAAACAAACCAAAGAAAAAGCAAACAGGGATTCAGTTATTATGGACTTCTATATTAAAATAAATAAATAAATAAATAAATAAATAAATAAAATCAGTTCATATTTATCCATTTATGGATTTATTTCTATTGGTACTATTTCATCTATTGGGGGAATTACAAATTTAGTTTCTGCAAGGGTTTTTTAAACTAACATGAGAAAAGTTTTTTAGACACTTAATAGACTTTTATACGTTTTTAATACTTTCCTTCTGACAAATGTATGCTTTAGACCCTCAAAAGTGGGGGAAGGAAGAAAGAACAAATGTGAAACAATGCTATGGGAGAAAGTGATGATAATAATTAAGTTTATGATGGTGTCTCAGCAGTGGACTCCACCTTCACTCACTGGAATGAGCAGTCATATGACCAAGACAAGAAGTAAGGTGATACAATTTTGTACAAAGAATTTGCCAGTGGGAAGGTGAAGGAAAAACAAATGCTGAAATTCCTTCTTTTTTTCACTCAGTACTGCTGCACGTATAAGCCTTGTCCTGGAGCTAATTAGCCTGGGGCAAAAAACGTATCTAATATACCTTTACTGCTTATCATTGCTGTATTGCATGCATCACTGCTTTTTTTCTCTGAGCTTAATTAATACACTTTTTTTTCTATTACGGATGCATTGCTATAATGATGCATGTTTAAAAGG